CCCTAACCACACAGCAAAGCAACCCACCACGAGGAAAGACCACATCAAACAAGCAAGCTGTATGACTCAGAAAAGAACACCGAACACGGGGAACACACGGCAGGGGGCAAACCTCAGTTCAAATCTGCAGTAGTGAGGCGAGAAGTGGGAGGCGGGGGAACAGGAACCCGCATCTAACACAATGGGGTAGCACAGCGAACGCCGACGGCCTCAAGGAGGTTGCAAAGCAAGCCTCCTACTACCTGAAAGGGAAAGGCAGAGCAACGGACAATCCTACACAAGGGAGGCCCGTAGGCAAAAAGCACATACAACACCAAGAAAACGTGTGCAAAAGGCATCTAACACAAACGTGACGCACCGCAAAACTGTCCAGAAAGGGGTAGGTAGTTTCACATCACCAAACCCTCAACACAACGGCAAGGGCGGCAAAACATATCTTATTGAACATAGTGAAGCGCTGTAACAAACATTTAACGACTTGAGAAACAGCAAACAAATAAATTCTCAACCAAGTCAGTGGGGCGTTTTGCAAACACACACGTGCGGCTCAGCACCAACATTCAATACAAAAGGGAGAAAACCAGATCACATCCAAGCACGAAATCAACAAAGCGCGAGGTAGGGCAATGGTAAAAGCATATTTTGCCCAAGACAATGAACCGCAAGCCAGCAAAAGGGTTGGGAAAAGGAAGTGCGCAGCAAAACATATCTAATAACGCAAGCGGGGTGTATAGCAAATTTCAGTACAGGTTGGGCGCACAGCAGAAAAACTTCCAAGACAAAAGGAGCATGGCCGTTGGTGTCAGCAAACGCGATGAGCGGGCACAACCCGGAAAAGGGGAGGGCAACACATGCAACAGATACCGGTGGCAAATGTTCGTGGTAGCGTGGCAAGATTTTTGGTGTGTCAAGCGTTTTTGCCAAAAAAATTCCATGAGGTGCCGCAGGTACTTATGGCAAAGGTTGTGGCAAAGGTACGTGTGGCAAAGGTTTGTTGGTGGCAAAGGCCGTTTCCGTGGCAAAGGTTATGGCAAAGGTCATTCCTCACGTTTAGCTCTTAACCTTTGCCACGGCTTTGCCACGGACACCTTTGCCATAACCTGCGCCACAACCTTTGCCACAGGTACCTTTGCCATAACCTTTGCCATATGTACCTGTGGCACCTAATGGCGTGTTTTTCAATTTTCAAGGGGGCCTGCGCCTACAAAAAGGGTAGCGGAAAGAGAAACAACCTTTGCCACGAACATTCGCCACAGATGCAACGTTAAGCCCGGACTTTCGGAAATCCTCACTGGTTGAGTGGGCCCGGCGGGCGAGGTTTGCAGTGGGGCGTGGAGTGGTAGTACAGACCTTGGGGCGGCCTTGGCCCTCCTCTCAATCTAACCTGCCACAAACCAGCAGCAGCATGAAGTGAAATTCAGGCGTTGAAGTCGGTCAAGGTGCTTTTAATAGAATGTAGCATGGACGGGTGTGGGTTTAGACTTTACAGTTTTGGGCCTTCAGGTACGAGTCTAAGGTTTGCGATTTAGGGTGCTACAGATGTAGGATTCTTTAAGATTAAGGCAAGCGTTTGAAATTTACGGCATGTTTGTGGGGATTCTGCGAAGCCATATCTCATCGTCGACGTTATCGTCACCGCGATGCCATCGTCATACAATCAAGTAGAGTTTCATGCAGACCTATGTAGCAGCAGCACTTGTAGCTTTCATCGTCGTCGTAGTCTTAAACGTAGTCATAGTCTTGTCGACGTAATCGTAGTCGTCGTTAGGGTCGTGTGGTCGTCGTCGTTGTCCTCGTGGTCGTAGTCTCAGGCGTAGCCGCAGCCGCAGGCGTCGCAGTCGTCGTTGTCGTCGTCGTCATCGTCGTCGTCGAAGCACAGTAGTCGTCTTCGTAGTCGTCGTCGTATTAGTAGTAGTAGTCGTCGCCGTCGTGATAGTACCAGTAGCAGTGGCTAGTGGCCAGTGGCTGGTAGCTGGTAGCTGGTAGCTGGCAGCTGCTAAGTATTAGGTAGTGGGCAGTGCGGACGGAGTAAATAGTAAAAGTAATAGTAGTCGTTGTAGTAGTCGCAGCAGCAGTAGTAGCAGTAGTAGTAGTAGTAGCAGTAGTAGCAGTAGTAGTAGTAGTAGTAGTAGGAGTAGGAGTAGCAGTAGCAGCAGTAGTAGTAGTAGTAGCAGTAGTAGTAGTAGTAGTAGTAGCAGTAGCAGTAGCAGTAGCAGCAGCAGCAGTAATAGTTGTTGTGATTGTTGTTGTGGTTGTTGTTGTCGTTGTTGTTGCTGTTGTTGTTGTTGTTGTTGTTGTTGTTGTTGCCTTGCCGTTGTTGTTGTTGTTGCTGTGGTGGTGGTGGTGGTGGTGGTGTTGGTGTTGGTGTTGGTGTTGGTGTTGGTGTTGGTGTTGTTGTTGTTGGTGGTGGTGGTGGTGGTGTTGTTGTTGTCGTTGTTGTTGCTGTTGCTGTTGCTGTTGCTGTTGTTGTTGTTGTTGTTGGTCGTGGTGGTGGTGGTGG